GCTACCCCCCCCCCCCCCCCCCACCCCCCAATCCTTCTCATCCCCACACCCTGCCAGAGTAATTAATCACCTTGTGCTAATGAGCTATTAACTAATGACAGATTGACATGTCGCTGCCTGTGTGCGCATGTCTGAGTGTGTCTGTGGAGGCATGTGTGAGTGTTGCCAGAGCCACCCTCGGCACACTAATGTGATTAATAAGGTTAAGCTCTTATTACTGAGGGAGCAACAAAAAAAGGAGTACACACACACATACACACACATGCACCGGTGCACACAAAGGCCAACATGCATGCACAAAAATACAAAAGTGACAAATTTCTTTCATACACAGGGCAAAGAATGACTAGTGTCAGGTTGCTTCAAAGTATAAATAAAACTAGGGCACAGAAGAAAAGAAAAGACATCGAACGTTACCTTTCACCATATATTCTCATTACCCAGAGGCTGACTCTGCTATACACTATCACATCTCGGGGAAAAAGAGGGAAGCATTCCAGTAAAGCACTTCACTACAATTGAGTTACAACTGCCTAAAAAAAAAGAAAGAAAAAAAACCCATAAAAAAACCTACAAGTCTTCTTGTGTCTTTGTCAACATTTTCAGTCACTTGTCAACATTTTTACAACGATTCAGTCGACCACTCATAGGTGCCCAATTGTTGGTTTGCTGCTGCTGACACATACCAACACAGGCACACATGCCTCCTATCACCTTAAGCCTGGTTTCAGCACCACGGACAGCTACACAAAGGAGGCGCTTTATGAACGCATTTCAAGAGTCCCTGAAACAGCGTCCTTGTTTTGGTGCACAGCGAGAGACTCCTTCTTTGTAATAACACTCACATCCTAATATGTGTACCGAACGCACCGAACAATTACCGTGCCAAACAGACACACTATATCAAACCGTAACGCAAATAGGAAGGTATTGCTTGAGACAGGCAGTTACGCCTGAAGAAGTCACTACCTGGAGTCTGTTTAATCGGATGTATTGGACTGTAATGTCTCTGCACTCCAATTCTAAGAGAAATGTAGTTACAGCAAGATCATTTGATACTCAAGAGGATCCTTGCACTACATAATAGCGAGTCTAACTCAGCTACATATGAGTGCATAGCATGTAAGCGTGTATGTGCGCGTGGCAGCACATGTACTGTACTGTATGTGTGTCTGTGACCTAACAGTGCGTCCCCCTGGAGAAGTTTTGGCGCATACCGAGACTCATTTGCATTCTCGCAGCTCTCTCATTTTTTTCCGTTGCTTTAGAAGTGAACAGCTGCTTAATGGTCATAGCTCTTCAGAGACGGGACATTGGGAAGCGCAGAGGGGGTTAGCCAGGGTTTCTGCGCTGCCAAACGCACAACTACACGGGGTGGAGACACATACAAAGGCACACACACGTGCGCGCTTGGAGCACACACCAGGTAAATCCTGGTTTAGCTATGGCTCTGAGAGTGAGATGTGACCATTTAGCAGATGTTTTCCTTCCCAATAGTGACTTTGGAGGCTTTCCACACTGTTGAATTTAACTACAATGGAAGACAAACCAAGATGCACGCGCATTACACTTGAGCTGATGTGACAACAACAGAGAGAAATCCTTTGCTCAGTATGGCTAAAACAACACTGGTACGTGTATGTTAACAGTAAGCGCCAAGCTGGTATAGCTGCATGTTCCAAGCAAGTGATAGCAGCATAATACCTTTTCTGTAATCCACTGAAATCACTTAAATCTGGATTTTTATTGGATGGATGGCTGGACGGTGCAGTGGAGGATGGTTGTAAAACCTGATTTAAAAAGCAAAAGAGGGGATTGTCAGTGGATGTTTTTAGGGGGGCGAGGGGAGGTTGAGTGCTTTCTCTATTTTTTTTTTTTCGTGGCGCACGTGAACTTAAACCCCGTGCCACAGACACAGTGACACACATTCGAGCAAGACTACATGAAATGGCCTTCATCTCCATGCGCATTTGACTGCTTCACTTGCCGACACACACAGATGGGTTGTGTTTCATGAGATGCCAAAAGAAG